CCCCCCCAGCCACACACCCCTACCCTCCGGCTCGCGCCCGCGCGCCCCCGTTTACCTTTCAGCAGGCAGATGTCGGTGCGCTCGGCGTTCCGGCGCAGCGCCCGCACGACCAGCGACACGGTGCTGTCGTCCCGGAGGCTCTCGGCGCGCGGGCTGCGCTCATCGTAGACGATGACGGCCGAGTAGAGGCCCGAGCGCAGGCGGGCGCGCACCTCCTCCTCGGCGGGCAGGATCTGCTCCAGGCTCACCGAGCCCTTGGCCCTCCGCCGCACGATGGTGTTGCAGCGCACGTTCACCGAGCCTCGGATGTAGCCGGCGCTGTGCGCCAGGAACGGCCTGCAGTCCAGCAGCAGGCACTTGCCGCCGCTCGGCAGCCCCAGGGCGCCGCCGCCGCCGCCGCTCTCGTCTCGGTTCATCAGCCTCTTGAGCACGCTGCAGTCCATCTCTCGCAGTTCCTCCATCGTCACCATGGTCGCCGGGAAACGCGGCAGCTGGGGAGCCGGAGAAGGCCAAGGGGGGCACCCGGGCCAGCGAGGCTTCAAGGAGGAGCAGGAGAGGGGCTTAGGGGGGCGCCCGCCGAAGTGGCCGCAAACTTGGCCCCGGGCTCTTCTCCCTCCGCGCGTTCGTCCTCCCGCAGCCTCGACGTTACATAGCAGTCCGAGGCTGCTCGGGCGCCGAGGCGGGCGGGCGCCAAGGCGGGCGGGCGCGCGGCCCCCGGGGAAGCGGCCGAGGAGTTGAGCGTGTTTACGGGAGAGGAGTCCTCCCGGTTGGTTGTCTCCAGCGCGTTTTGCCGGCCGAGCTGCTTCTGCCGTCCCCCCCGTCTCCGTCGCCGCCGTCCGCCCCACAGCGCCCCGCCGGAGCTGCGCGCACCGCCCCAGCCAGAGTTTCCTCCTCAGCCTAAGAGATTTATTAACGCTCGCCGGCTCTCCCGGGGGAAGGGAGAGTCATTACTACCTCGCCGGGCCCCGCCCCCCGCGCTAGGGCCCCGCCCCCGTCCCGCCCCCGCCCCGGCCCGTGAATGGAGCACCGGCCCCCCTCGCCCCCAGTCACGGGACCTCGACGTCACAAAGAGAGGAGTAAACAGGGTTCTCGGAGCTCGCCGCCAGGCCCATTCATAAAACCGAGACCTAGAGGGAGAGGGAGGCAGCCTCCGACCCGCCCGCCCGCCCGCACGCGCGCACGCAGCTCCCGGACTTTGTGAATGGAACCGCGGCGCGTCTCCCGGTTCTTGCTCGGCCCCGGAGCGCGGCGGTCGGCGGCGTTGGGGTAGCAGCGGGTGGGGGGGCGGCGAGGCCCAGGCTCTCGGCTCAGAGGGCTTCACCTCTGCGCCCCCCTTCCCCGCCCGGTCCCCCTCGCCGCCGCAGCTCGGGGCTCGGCTGCCACCCCGCACGGCCTAGGGACCCCTTCTCGCCGGATTTGGCCTTGCTGTTCGGGTCGGGCCGCTTGCGTTTTGTTCTGTTTTGAACGCGACTCCCCAGACGGCGGCTGAGACCCGAGCGCCATCGGTTTCCACCCTGAGCTGTTCCGTCCAGTTTTATAGCTTCCCTTGGAACGGGGGCCATCCCGGAGTTGGCAAGATGAAAGGGAAGGCCCTCGCGCCAGAGCCCGCTCACAAAAGGGAGGTGCGGGGGTTTGTCGCTTTACAACCCGGGGCGGGGGGCGTTAATTGGCTGAGTGCTGTCCCGTGCAGGGCCCAAGCTTCCTAACGGGTTTATTTAACCGTGGGGGGCGGGGTGCCCGGACGTTTTCCGCCTTGGGGGGAAGTCCTCGCCTCCCTCTTGGTCTTAAGCGCTGTCCTCTCGGGAAAGGCCTGTTTAGGGTCTACATTTGGCGAGATGGAAGACGCCGAAAAGCGTCCACGCGAAGGACGACCTTCTGAAAAAAACAAATGGAACAAGCTCGGGGAGGAGTCGAGTTTCTCCCTCCCTCTCTCCGGGTCACGTAGCATCCGCACCCCGGTTTTCCTTTCCCAGAGGCGTTTAAATCCCCCCCCCCAAAGGTCTTGCTTTTGGCGAGAGGGGAGGCTGTGCGCGCGCGCGCGGTGGGGACCTTCCAGAAGCCAAAAATGATTCGGCCGAGATCTTGCCAAGTCTTGTTAGTGATAATTAATCGCCGCCGAAAGAGGGAATTGCGGGGTTCGCTCGCGGTCCCGGCGGCGGCGAGGTCGAAGATTCCATTCCAGGGCGCGGGTGGAAGCCTGGCGAAGGGCAGCGAGGGCCGCCGAACCCCCAGGGTCCTTCCCGCCCAGTGCCACTCTTGCCCTTGGCTTTGTTCTCGGCGGAGCTGCTCTCCCGAGCTCACCTCCAGCCCCCACCTGCCCGTTTTCCAAGCTCTTCTACAGGCTCTCCTCCAGTGCATCCTCAAGTCCTCGGCACCCCCGTCCGGGTCCAGTGGACTGTGTGGGGCGCCGGTCCACTGTGGAGACCTTTCATTCCCCCCCCCCTCCGGTTCCGAGATGGCACTGCGCTATTCCTGCCTTAGGTTTTTGGTTTTGTGGATTTTTTTTTTCTTTCAGTTAAAAAGATAAACCATTGCATGTTGATTAATTTGTTGCTGACATATTAGTGACCTCCCACCTCACGCCACGCCACTGCACGTTAAGTTTTGGCGCCCCGGGGTGCTTGACCGCTCTAATCCGGGCTCCGAAAGGAGCTACACGCTGACATGGGCCGCCTGGGGCAAGGTCTCCGGCACCCACAGCAAGGGCGCCTTGCATGCGCTAGGAGGGCAAGGTGTGTGGTGGGGGTGGGGGGCTCGGCTTCCCCTACTCCCGAGGGATCTGGGAGCACATCTTGCGCGTCCCCCTCGCCGGCCCACCGTGGGTGCTGGGCATCCCCGGTGCCCCGACAGCCGGGGCCAGATTGGCTCGCGTGGGGCCTAACCCCCTTCGTCTGCAAATCCGGCGGCTACCAGGCCTCAGCTCCGGGAGGAAAACAACAAACCGCTTTCCAAATGATCCTGAGAGCTTCGGTCCTAACCAGATCGGGGCCGGTTTCCCCGGAGCCCCGGGGGCTGGGGTGGGGTGGGGGGGTTGGCCACGCTCGGCTAGCCTTTGTCTCCCCTGCCTTAGGGGTGCTCCACCGCCACCACCTCCGCCGGCCAGGCCCCGGCCCGGCGCTCACGTGGCCGTAAATAACAGTCAAATCCGGGGGGGGGGGGGTTGAAGGGGAGGAAAATGCCCAGCGAACAAAGGGCTGCTTTCTGCACCTGACAAGTAATCCTTGCCAGAGGAGCCCGTAAATCCTAGAGGCGAGTCACACGCGGGGCGTGTGGGCAGGCGCGTGTGAGTGTGCGAGTGTGTGTGTCCACGTGTGCTTGGCCGCGCCTGCGCGCCTGCTCCCGGAGGGGGCCGGCCACTTCGGACTTAGTACCTTTAAGCCAAGCGCGGCTTTTGTTGAGAAGATGATGTTAAGTAAATCAACGCTGTCCCTTATCCCCCTGGTTCAGGAACTGCCTTCGGCACGGCGTGAATGTCAGCAAATGAGCTTTAAACGACAGCGTCGTGTTTAGCCGGATACTGTGGGAGCACCCTACATAATTTTCTTAATGGAAGCGTGTGAGCCGTTTGGTCCACAGTTCGGTGAATAACAATGGAAGGTCTAACCTATACCGGCTATAGAGAAGATATAAAACAGGCCTTCCATTGGTCCTCGGGCTGGAGGGTGAGAAACAGTTGACACAGGAACTCCGCGAGTCAATTCGTCAATAAAATCTTCCAGAAAACAAAGGCGTTTGGGGGAAGTCTGCTTGGATGGCCCTTCAGAGTTACTTAGTTGGGGGAGTATCTGCAGGGATTGGGGTGGGATGGCCCAATTTACATTCGACAGTAAACCCCCGGGGTGGAAACGCTTTTAAAAATTCACTGTGACACGTGAAACCAACTTCCCTTTCATCAGACAGTCTTTAGACCGACCTTATTAGTCACTGTCAGGCTCTGACAAATCCCTGCGCTTGTTTGAGACTCTTTCTTTCCAATTAGAAAGTTTTGTGATCTGGGGATTCGAAGCCTGGCAAAGAATCCCCAGAGAAGACGGTGGCTTCTATTCTGGTTTTGATGTCAACCTCTGACTCACAGCCCTGCCCAAAGTAACTGAATAAAACTTACCTTAAAAAATAAAAATAAAAAAGCCACCGGTAAGTGAATAATCGAGGTGGCAGTGGATAGATTTTGGGTGGATCCTCTGGCTTCCTGAGCCGTGCTGCTTACTCTGAACTGCACAGGAAACATCCTTTTTACCTGGACCTATTTGTACTCTTCATAATAAAACCCTGAGGAGAGCTGGAGGCCAGCTCATGCTCCACGCAGGAAAAGCAGCTCCACTGTGGCAAACTGACTTGAAACCTGACCCTCAAGCCAGGGTGCAGAGGTAGTAGAAATCTTCAACACCCAGAAATCAACAGAAAGAATTCAGAAGCGCAACCTAAACAGAGCTTTGGTTGAGTCTCTGAGATAGGGGTTTCCTGCAGCCCAGGCTGGCCCGAAGCTTGCTGTTGTACCCGAGGCTGGCTTTCAGCTCTTAATCCCACAGCTGTGCTATAAGACTATTGAAATACTGGATTCCAAAGAATTAAAATTTCCCCAGGAATCTCATGCTGGTGGAAGGGAAAAGCTGAAGAGGTCTGCCGCCGGAAGAACCTGACTCAGGAGAAGACCAAGACTGTGACAGAAACCAAACCCTGAACAGGGCTATTAATTACTCATACCTCTTGATTTCTGTTTAAACGTAAACCTCCTGCTAGTGACTGGGCCTCTTTATTTGTTCTTCCCAAGGGGACCACAGTGAAAGACTCTCCCTGCTGTTCCCTGTTGCCTGTCTATTGTTATATTAGGAATAGATTGGCTGACACTATAGGCACCTAAGCCTTTTGTCCTGGGTTTACGATCTCACATGGGGCACTGCCAGAGTCTAAGCTTAGAGCCTAAAAACTTCACTAACACAGCCTCCATTTTCAAAGTTCGGGGATTACAAACATAGGCCACCAAATTCATCTGAAGGGTATTTTTAGCATAGCATATCGTCTCTTGTTTGTTTTGTTTTGGCTTGTTGTTGTTTTGTTTGTTTGTTTTTTTGTTTGTTTGTTTTGAGAAAAGGTTTCTCTGTGAAGACCTGGCTGTCCTGGAAACACTGCAGGGATCAAAGGCATGTGCCACCACCGCCCAACCCATCCCCCTTTATTTTCTGTGGGCGGCAGTGTACCACGTGTTAATGATTTAAGATGGTAGCTTTCAGGCCGGCTGCACTGAGGAAAGTTTTAGAGCGTTGCTCCCCTTGCCATTTTATGTGATAGTTCTTCCTTCAAGACTATGCTCCCATATTTAGCTTAGAGGCCTTGGACAAGATGCTCTTCCCTTAACCAACATTTCTTAATTTCTGAGCAGGTGAGCCCTTATCCATCCCAAATGCACTCACTGTTCCCGTCTTTTCCTCCCAAAGCCAAGCACGCTAAAATGCCACACGTGAAGAGCAATTTCTAGCTCCTCTCTGCCCCCACCGCTTTAGGACACGCAATCTCAGAGAACAAAGCCCTCGGGTTTCCTTTATCTGAGGCACATGTCAGTGTCTCCAGCACTCTCATGACACTCCAGGAACTTGTTTGGCCAGGTGTGATGACAGTTCATGACCAACCTTAGAACACAGGGGGCAGAAGGACTGGAGAGTTGGGGAGCTAGCCTGGGCTACAAAGAAGACCATGTCTCAAGGGGAGGGAAAACCTGGATGAACTCAGCCTTCCTTGCCTCTGCCACTCCAGCTGCACATGCTCTCGCCTTCATGTACTCATTCACTCAACAAACAGGCCAGACTCAGCGTGAGAAATAAATGTGTCCAATTCGCTAAACGATGCCTTCAGAGACTTTGATCTGCTAGGTCAAACCAGTATGACTGCCAATAGGTGCTA